ATTCAATAAAAATTATTATTTACTTGTATTAAGAGAAAGATTTATTGAATCAGAAGATATTCAAACTAAATTACTATCTAATCAACGATGTGCTTTTATAGATGAACTATTAAACACGACTTTTCGTTCTTATTCTCGTCTTCATCGTATCAAATACATATTATCCTGTTTTGTGTCGACAAGATAAACAATTGATGTGTTTCTTTTTTTTTTTTTAACATATAGTATTTATTGTGCCATAAGTGGTTCACATTATAATAAGAAAAGTAGTAATCACAAAATTAGAAAAAAGTGTAATCATAACAACATGTACAGGCTGGTTGTTTCCCAGACAAGGATCATACCTCCCAATATATAAAAAAGAAAAAATATGGAAAAGAAGAGAAATAAATAGAGCCGAGAACCGAAGAGAAAAAGACAATACAAAATTGAGGATTGTTTTTGTGAAAAGAAAAGAGTCAAAAGACATATTAGTGCATGGTAAATGTAAAGCTAGAGAACAAGCATTTGTTCGTTTCAGATATGGATTAGCTCATTTCCTTAAAAGGACTTATTGTATCATGCGCTGCTCCTACACAAAAATATTTATATATAAATAAATTGATAGATACAGTGTTTATTGTGTAGTGATCTTTATGTAGATGATAAACATTTTCAAATTCACGCCATTCCGATAGTGTGTGTTGTGCTCGTGTCTTCAACCTCCCAGGGAATAAACTTCGTTTATTGAACCCCATGTCTCTATACCAACTCAAGTCATGGGACGTTGCAATCATATATGCTTGCCATGTTTGTTGATAAACTAAAGCGTCATGTGATCTTTCAAGATGTGGACTAAATTTTGCCCAGAATGAGTATAGATGGTCGAGAAGGGATTTCTCTCTACTCAAAATAAGAGTGGTCTCGTCGTCCCAACTGTATAGGGAAAAAACACATTTTATACCAGAACAATACACATGTTCCAAATATCTACGTTGTTTGTCAGTAAAGAAAAACCAGGTTGCGAATAACCAAATGAAGTGGGGCATCACGAAAGCCGAAAAAATTTTCTTTCTAACTTTAATATTTGTCTTTGGGATGGAGTGAAATAGAATTTTCATTCCGCGATAGACATTTCTTATCTTTTTAATTCTTTCGCTGATATAAATGTTCCATCCTAGCTTCACTGAGGTCCTTACACCAAGATACTTGAAACTCTTTACGTATTCAATGGTTTGACCTCTCAACTCAAGTTTCGGTTTCAGTGGTGCAACAACGCTATGCACCAACAGTGCCTTTGTCTTCCTGATATTTATCGGAAGAATGTTGTAGTCAGAGAACTTTCCCAATCGTTCTAGCACTACTTTGGCTCTCGCCTCAAGTTCAATAATGTTTTTCGAAAACCTTTTGTCTATATCACCCGATATTTGGATCGCCAAATCGTCGGCAAACATGTGTGATGCTACCGCGAAGAAACAGGAGGGGACAATTGATGTGTTTCTATGATGAAAACTATATGTGTATATGCGATATGGATCGATTCTCTAATTGTTTCGTATTCAATCATTCCAAGATTCATGATTGTCAAGGTTATAGTGATTGTGAAAATGGTGGTCAATGTTTTCAAGACAATGCTACATGTCCTAGTGTATCAGTATGTAGTTGTCCAGATTGTTATTATGGAACGAAATGTCAATTTTCAACAAAAGGTTTTGTTTTATCACTTGATTATATTCTTGGTTATCATATTAAACCAAATATTTCATTTTTTCAACAACCATTAATTGTTACAATGAGTATGGTACTCACAATAGTAATGTTCATTTTTGGC